AATATCGTATCACACACGTACGTATAACGTATCAACGTATCATGTTGGTTGGGGTAAACATGTGTTTTATCTGACCATCCTTTCGCGTACACTGGAAAAGTAATGGCTATTATGACCGCAAAACTTTTTGATATCCATGGTGACTCATCAGTGAAATTTGCATTCAGTTTCATGATGCACATTACCAAATTGAAGAAGCATTTTCATATAAAACAAAAGATGGACCAAATTCTCGTAATGTGTCTACACGGTAAAATAAAAAATTAGCCTATTGCAAAATCGCCAAATAAGCTCAAAATTTTGCGTATAAAATGAACTTGCATATTGATTCAGAAATTAACGATCAGATATATGTGAAAAAGTGTTATACGAAAATTCAAATCTAGATATTCAAGATATTCTTGCCGTTAGACTGAAAATTTTTCTTGTTCTTCATTAGGTTTCGTTTCTATCTAGGGCGCAGCGCCGATCCTATAAGAGCAGGTCTCGAACTGTGTCAATAAGAAAAGCTCGGGCCATCGTCTACCGTCAATATTTGTATGAGCAGATGTCAGCACGGAACCTGAGACAGGCCTTGCGAAACGTGAACACTTCTTCCTGCATGAGAAGACACTGCTGCTCTCTGTTGTATTGTGCGCATCTATCCCCTCTCTGCAGTGTAATACACGTCCTTTTACGACCACAATTTAGTACAGTTCATTAATAATAATTGTGTTAATTACAGTTGTTAACTATATTCCGTTCTGTTATAAAGAACTTTACTTTTGCTTGCACACATATGTAGTTCTTTCTTTAGCTTGCTGGATCTGCCTGCTGCAATGCCGAACTTATTCTGTTCCTGAAAATTCAGTTCTCTTCCTTTCAATTCTAAAAAGCCATTACTCTGCCTACTCTTTTTTATTAATTCATTTATCTTTGAACTATTCTGTCACCAATAGCATAGGCCTGTTCATAAAGCATCTCCGCTCCTATTAGAAGCGCGTTTTAATTCATATATGGCGTCTGTTTCATGCCCAATGATTTAGAAATGTTGCTATGCAGCCATCCCTTTGATTGCCGTTCCAAACAGTTCGTCTTTCTCATAGAAATCAATCATCCTACGGCTGCTTTTGCTACTCCTCTCTAATCAACTCGGACAGTTTAAAGTTGTGAATTATTATTATCATAAGTGTAACAATCAAGGTAAAGACAATATATAAATGTGAATATTTGACGCGATTTCCCTATTAATAATTGCAACTATTGATCACCGTTTTCATGAAATAATCCACACGGAACAGGTTCAAGACATTATTTTTTTTGCGTCCACCATGTTTATTACACCAAATTCTCGTAGCACAAGCTAAACACATTTCACGCGGACCATACGTAAGCCAAGACTGGTGCCAGTTTTGGACGTCTCTGAAGTTTTGCCGTAATTTGCTCTGTCCCTCATCCACCTTCCCCTCTTTTGTCCCCCTGCATCGAGACTGAGTTTTGAGCAAGACAAAAGGAAAGCCTTGTGTTTGAGCCGCCATTACTCTCGAGAGGCCGGTCAACATGGCTCTTATGAAAGAAGCCGTCCAGCCACATATCGCCGATGCCTTTACTGACTCCCACCGCCGCAAAGGGTAACATTAAAATGACTTCCTACTTTTGTGATCTGCAGATTGTGTGCGTGTTTGATGACTCAATAGAATTCGTAAAAGGTCGTTAGAATATATGTGTGAAGATTATCGAGAACAGAGGGCTTGGCTTTCCAAGTATGAACGCGTTCAAGAACAGAGTAGATAGGGCTATGGAAAAATATATGTTCAGATTTGAAATGCCTAGCTCCTTATCGAACCCGGTGGAAGTCTAGTAGCTATTTCAAACTATCGTCAGTCATGAAAAGATCCGGTCAAATGACACGATTTTAGATCTATGAACAAGGCACGAAAAAAGGAAAAGAATCGGCGACAGGCCATATCAGGCCTACGCTTCACCGCCGACATCACTATGTTATGTTATGTACAGTACCTGGTGGAGTTATGTTTATAATCCTCATCATGAGAACGTATGGTTTGAGCTTTAATATAGAGAGGATGTGGGTATGGCAAGACGCAAATGTACGTATGAGTTATATATACATTATGCACACCAATTTTATAAATGTAAATAATAAAAATTAACATATTATGCGTTTTACTTCGTCATTATTCTCACATCCTGGCTCATATATTCTACTTAGAGCGTTGCATAATGCATAATTTCTCATTGATTATACAGCAATAACTACGACGTAGGTTTAAGTAGTTTGAAATGATAGAATTTCTCTGACCTTATTGTTTTAAAGATCGTCAACAGTAATAAGTATGAGTTGAAATGCGGTGAGATAGTTTGTTCTTGCTGATATCAACTTTAATTATTGAAAGCAGATCTAAGCTTAACATTGGAAAAGTCATTTCATTTTAAACGCAGGCAATCCAAAAGAAGTTTTTGAATTTAAAATCTTTAAGAAAAAAGTTTTCACTCGTTTTGAAAGGCAAAATAAGTATCCTACATCTACAACGACCTTAATATTGGAAGATCTTTTTCTATATATTCATCGAGAAAGTACATGTCCGGGGTTTTGCATATGAAATGATGTAGATCAATCAACTCGGTTTCTATCAGCGAAACAAAACGTTGGCCGCAGCACCCGGAATCCGCTCGCCTGGCCAAACTTCCAAACTTGCACTACAATTGTCCCGATATGAAGAGCAAAAATATCCACGAGAGCTAGCCAGAGAAAGGGGAAATCTGAGAACTTGTTTTTCAGTTGGCCCGTAAGCCTAATTTTATAACCTCCTGCAATTGCTTCATTTCATTAAACGACTTTCTTTTGAACACGAGAAAACCGCAGTGTTGTAGTTTGCTGCACCAAGGCTGTGGAAAACAACGTCTTGGGCCATTGCATGCTCCACATGGCGGTAACCTCATGGCAGGAACATGGCTGGTTACCAAAGCAACACGTCATACATTCAACTCAATATGGCTGAAACATTTATTTTGTCCAATAGGTTTCACTTGATGTTCATTTTTCAAAGAAAGCGCAAAAAAAATAGAGTAACTAAAATCAATGGAGCTGACGTGTCGCAAATTTTTCGAAGCGTATAAGCTTCTCAGGCAGTAAAAAAGGCTGACTAAAATGATCAAACACAGGCGCTAAATTGAATTCAGGGTGAAATTAAATTTCAAAAGTTGTGTCCCAACAAATTTCGCTATTTTCTTAGATGCACTCGGAAATCCATCAAAATAATTTATAAATTGAAAATCTGTCTCGCTACTTAGATTTTTCAGTGAGCGGAGCAAATCGAAGCGCAATTTCCGAGCATCATATGAAACCACAAGAAAATAAGGGGAGCAATTTAAGACGGATTTAAGAGACGGAAGTGAATCATGAACTTCAATCGTTGAATTTTGTAGGCTTCATCAAATTTAAAATCTTTTGGTGGATCATATAATTTAATTTGTGTGTATATTTCGAAATAAATAGAGTGGTGGCTCTTGCCATAGACTGCCGTTCGTTAACAATAAACCTGATGACTGGTTACTTTGCAGACAGTCAATAGCAGAAAATTTTGCTAAAGGCGAGAAATAAAAAATAGCCTGCAAATAGCTAAAAAAATTTTTGATAAAGGAATAAAAAATCAGTGATCTTCACATTTCTCTGAGAGTTCCGAAATACTGTCACATAGTAATTAAAAATAGCAGGTGTCATCAGCAAAATAATAAGGCATTTGACAATAATGTATGTGCAGATGTGAATCATATAAAATAATATTGCAAGAAACACACAACCGCCTTTTTTGCATCAGCTTTTGCACGCTGCCCTAGCAACGGATCAAATATGAAGCACAAGAGCAGGTTCAGTATGATGAGATGGACCCTTCAGTTATTTAGTATTCAAACAAAATTAACAATTTATTAAGTCTCTCATATGGCTTTTCTATTTCAGTTATAATCTTTTTGAACCTCTTCTACGAGTAAAATTAAGTAACAGAGGATATTCTCAAAGTGATCATAATACTTTAAAAACTGTCTATGATAAAGATGATGTAGCAAAGGCAACGACTCTTAGCCACTCACTTTCTTTCAAAATTGCCGATAATTAAAAGGATATTAAGAATTAAATTTTTAACCTACTTTCAATATCTTAAACATTCCCGAAGATGAAATTAATTCCAAAAGGAAAATTTTTCAGCTACTCATAATATTTTTGACATTGCCGATGATAACAGATGAACTTTCTAATTGAAACATCTTTTTCAACAACTGATAGAATTGAGAAACCACTTAAAATGTTAGTTGAAGAACGAAACGTATAAATAATTTGTAATTTAACATGATTTTTGTCTTCAAATAATATTTTCAAACATATTTTTCGTTTTTTGACCAGCTTTCCAGATTTTTTCATTGTTACTCAGCTTTAAAATTTGTTATATTAGAAATGACTGTTAATGTGCCGAGATAATAGATCGGCTTCTAAATCCAAGTACTTAATAAATAAATAGTAAAAGCCCATGAACATAATACCTGAAGCGACAATAATGTATTTCATTTTTTCTTTTCAGACCCCATCTTAATGCAGCTCTGTGGCATACTCCCAGACGGCCCAAAGCCGACCACTTCCACGTGACAACGAACGACCTTTACAATACGGAATTTTTTCGCACATGCAGTGAATTATCTAAAGCCAATATTCTATCTGCCAGTTTGATTCACGACAATCTAATTAAAAGTTTAAGAAAGCTTTTTATGCATATTAATACCGAAGAGTATTTGTGTGCCGAAAACTTTTTGCCATCATCTATATACAATTGAGTGGAAGTTTGCTTCTGAATTTGTTTCGCTAAATTTGTCCAAACAAATTTGAATTAAAATAAAAGAAAATCTTGTAGGGATCTACTTCTGTTCGTTGCTATAAGTAAATAGACCGTGAATAATTAGAGCAATTCAGAAGAAATGTTATTTATTTATGTGTTCTGATTTTATTGATACACATTTTTGAAGCTTTTATTTTTTGTTATATGATTTCATCAAATTTAATATCTAAGAGGAACTTATTCTAAGTTAAATGAAGTAAGTCACACGGGCAAATTTATATAAAATGAGATATGGATATTTGATCATTGTGACCCATGCAAATTGGGCGACGTGTTTTAGGACTAAACTTTGAAAATTTTCGGTGATTTTTATTCTAAGAAATTATATAAATTAGGAAACTACACCTGCGGCATCAACTTCAAACATTTCATCATGATGATGTTTATCCAGTGCCTCACTCTGATGCTTCTATATGGCGGTGAGTTTATAATATAATAATATAAAATAATATAATATAATATAATATAATATAATATAATATAATATAATATAATATAATATAATATAATGGATATTTTAATTAAGTTATTATTTTTACTCGTTGATGACATAGTTTATAAATTTATATCTTCGTGCTTCATATCCGCTTTTCCAAATGAATAAAGCAGCTAATTTCATAGCATTGTAATTTTGGTTAATAACGAATTCATGGAAGCATGAATATGTAATAAAGAAAACATGAACATATTATTAAAAATAATTCTGTTCATGAAATTGACAGTAATTGAGGGGAATTTATACGAATATGAAATAAATTCATTGAGTAGAATACAATTTACGTATCTCAAGCACACGATTTGGGAATTTATTAACGACATCCCGTACTGATGTTTGCAGCCAATAAAATCTATGTACGTCTATGATTAGGTTGACCTATTCTTACTATATCAACCGAAAAGTTAAAATATTGATTTAAAAACAATTTTTCGAATTTTACATGCAAACTAAACTTGATCTGCATACCAATATATCTTGGTTCACATTAGAGCATAATTCGTTATTTTCAATTCCATTTAAAACAATAGCAAAGCATATAAGTAATAATGTCACTGGTTTGCTTGAATCGCAAATTCACTAAAAACTTAAAAGCAAAGAAAACGAAAAACATTAGTAGTTTTGTGGAGTTTTCTTTGCTTTTAAGTTTTTAATGGCAAAGCATTAAGAAGTGGACGTATAGCTACTGCCATGTACCGTCCACTCATTGCCGTCCTGAAAAGTGAACTAAAATACGTCCCATTTTCATTTGTTGTTTCGAAACTCTAATGATTTGCGGGATATCGGTAGGATTACTTAATCGTTCGGTTATCTTGTAGAAATATTTTCATTTATGTATAACTGATTGCATGAATTAAATCAATTACATCTTTCATATAACCTAACCCAGTAAGCCGTTTTTAATAAAGTTGTGCGTCAAAGCTCTTAAGTTCTGATCACTTTTAACAGGATTATCTTAGACTTCTATCAATCATCTTTTTCCACGACGCATCCACATGATGATTGGACGCATCCACGACGCATAGTAGTCATTCCTTTTTGTTACAAAGTACAACCATATTGATGGCATCATTTTATTTTTTTTGCTGTGGGCAAAGAAAATTGATATAAATCTCTAATATTTGATTTCAAAAATACGTATTCGTTCTTAAATCGCCTCGACAATCCAGCGTTTGAGATGTAAGGTTACAAACAACGGAGCTCGAGCGCCTATTACGCAACTTATATGGCCTAGCCGTTTACGATCAAAAGCCTTCGACTTCTGACATGGCTTTGAAATACGAAACTTGTACGCCATATTGGAGAAAGAACTTTCACGCATTCAAAACGATTTCTGGTTGACGGAACTTACAAAAAATACGTTGCTCGTGGCGCATTATTGTTTGGTTAGAAAACATGGAAAAATGAAATACAAATTAGATAAAAAAATTCAATGCCGACAGTACTCCACGTGTATTATTATGAAGTCGAGAATGTAGGACTGCGCTGTAATGTGATACAGAGATTTAGTTCTAAGTCCAGGAACGGAAAATAGCTCGCCATCTTGTCTCATAAAAATTATATTTTTATACATTACATCTTACTCGTGGATAGCAACACTGAAAATTATATTTGTTTCGGATAATTGATCTCATAATATCGTAGATATCATCTAAATCCATTCAGCTTAAGCACTATGCAAACTTACATTATCATTTCTTTCAATTTCAGTGAATAATTTTTATTGTGAACTATAAAATCGGTACAATTTGGCTAAGTTATGAACAAACGTCTTCTTTTTAGTGGTACGACGTATCTCATTTAAAATATTCATTAACATGCAAAGTAAAGCTTTCACAATGCTTAAAATTTAAATGCGCTAAGTAAGAATTTTGGGTATTGTGGATAAAATTTAATATTAAATCTCAAATAAAGTTACTCTGTAATAGTTTCAATGTCCTGACAAATGAGATTGTTTTAAATCCATGTTGACGAGAGCTTCGGTCCTGTAGCATTGGGGCACTGCATGACTTTTGATGATATTTTGCACGATCTATTCTGTAGGACCTGTTCATCTGCTTTGCAACCGTTGTCAGTTCAGCTTGTCGCGATTTAAAATTTGAAATTTCGGTAACGCTGGCCATTCGTCATGCAGAATTTATCTGGAGATTGCGCGCTTGGTTTTTCATTTTTTTTTTCAAGCCGAGAAGCGAAACCGCGAACAGCAGCTGACAAGCGAAACCATACACCGAAACCGCCTTACAATAGGACTAAATTGAGTGATAGCATCTCATGCCTGGTCATTTAATATTAATTGAGTGCGGCTTAATTAGTGCATCAACGGTGCTATAAGAAAAACGGAAAAGTGTTTCGTGGGGGTATCTGGGTGTTCATTAACTGGGTAAGGTGGGTAACGAAGAAGTGTGTCGTGAGGGTATATGGGTGTTCATTAACTGGGTAAGGCGGGTAACGGAGGAGTGTTTCGTGGGGGTATCTGGGTGTTCATTAACTGGGTAAGGTGGGTAACGGAGGAGTCTGTCGTGACGGTATCTGGGTGTTCATTAACTGGGTAAGGCGGGTAACAGAGGAGTGTGTCGTGACGGTATCTGTGTGTTCATAAATTATTTAAGGTGGGTATTTGTTATTAGAACAACTGTAATGCCCTGCTAACATTTGCTACTTATGAAACTTTATTGCACTCTGCTATCTATAATATCTTCTGTTTTTTTTTAGATACACGGTTTTTCAGATATTCTATACTAAAAATAATTACTGAAACTTGTCCAAACATTTGTTTCATGTGTAGGTCATTTTGACTCAGTTTAACCGGGCATAACGGTTTGTTGGTACTACTTGCAGAAAGTATGTCACTATTTGGATAATGCGACCCATTAATTTTTTCGTGTGTACAATGATTCATCCAATTGCTATTGACTTTCAATTCTTTACCTTTTTTTAAATCAATAACCAATGATAAATAAACTACTGATGTATAACATGAAAATTTTGAACCAATTTACTCTCACATCCGCTCTGAAAATAAATTAATACGTAGCATCCATTCTAACAGCAACGAGTATTGTCCAATAAATTATGAAGCTCTTCTAATTAAGGAAAAACAAGGTGCTGACAGGGCATTTTCAGCCGTTTTTATGGTCCACTAATTATGTCCTTGAGCGAATTAGGCATGAGATCTTAATAAGTGGCAATTACCGCCTGTATCGTCGACACTAATGTGCCAGCCGGCTAACTGGGCGGCGTGGCGCACTAATGTGCCAGCTGGGGTCATACTTTCAAAACTCGCTAAGTGAACGTAAGTACTTACGCTCTATTTTCTTGTCTATGATTGGTGAATTTTGCTAGAAAGGCCGTCAATGATTGGCTGATGAACTTACGATCTCTTAACTTTTTTTGAAAGTATAGGCCCTGGCTAACTGGGCGGCGTGGCGCACTCGCATAATTCCTGCTCAGCCGGGGCACGGTTCTCCTTATCCAAATTTCGGCTGAGTTCTAAATTATACCAGTACGATTAATCAATTACCAGCAGCTAGTTTTGTACCAGTAAATCATACCTGCACGCTTAATTAATCAATAAATCAATGGCACGATTAATCAATGTATTTAATAAATATATATTGATACTGCTCAAGTTGGGCACGGTTCTCCCTATCAAAATTTCGATTGAGTTCTTAATTATGCGAGTAAATCATACCAGCTTTTCAATTAGAATGGCACGATTAATCAATTTATTTAATGAATATATCTTGACACCGCTCAAGTCAAGTGGGCAGGATTCTCCCTATCCAAATTTCGGCTGAGTTCTTAATTGTATACGAGTAAATCATACCAGTTTCTCAAATGGAATGACTCGATTAATCAATTTATTTAATGAATATATCTTGATACTGCTCAAGTTAGGCAGGATTCTCCCTATCCATATTTCGTCTAAATTCTTAATTGTATAAATAAATCAATGTAATTGTAGTAGTATGAGTGAATCACCCCCGCATCTCGAATGGAATATCACGAATAATAATTTTATTCAACAAAGATATTTTGATACTGCGCTTTGTCTCGAAGATTCATAGTCTCGCGAGGGTGGTTATTACTCGATATAACCTGTCATTGTCTCTTACAAATTATTATTCGCTATAGACGAAGAGTACTCGAAGCTACATCGTCTGTTTGTGCTGTGCCATAAAATTCTTATAGCAGTTCTTCACTCAAATGTTTCATTGCACATTTTGAATTGGATATAATGTAAAGAAATGTTATGGAAAAGCACTTGTTAGAACTTGGATGGGTAGCAAAAAATTGTCTACCTCAAATTCATTTAACTGTTTTTAATTTTGCGAATAGCTACAGGTGATGGTGTTCACTGCTGTAGGTGATAGTACTATTTCAGCATTAGGACTTCTATGCACAAATCCTGAACATAAAAATGAAACACTGACGCGTTTCTCAGCGCCCTCGTCATTTCACAATTCATAATCGTCAATTCATATGCTCTTTTCCTCGTGCTTGTACTGCGCGAGATGAATCGAACTTGAAATAACAGGCGATGGACCTTCTAATTAAATATTATTTCATGACGACGTACATACAAAAATTTTTAAGTCACCCTATGGACAGTCGATCATACTAAATTGAATTTCCGGGATGTCCACGAATGAATGAATTGCCTACAATAATAATTTGATTTCAATGTCCAATATGGGAGTTGAATCCATAAACGTAGCAATTCAACTTCGGATAAAAGACTCGATAATCATACATAAAAGCGAAGCTGTGACACTGAACGCTTAGAAACATGCGTGCCTTCCAATAAATGAGATATAAGAGTAAAAAACGCGTAAATCAAGACACGGCGCACGATGAACTCCGTGCTGGTGCTGCTGGTGCTGCTGGTGGTGGTGGTGCTGGTGACTGGTGCTGCTGGTGCTG